CCACCACAAACGCGTTCTTAACCCTAGCGAATCCCTCCGGCCCAAAAAAGGAGGAGATTCGAGACAACTGCTCCTCCAGCAGTTCCTGTGCAGCAGCATCCGTTCCCCGTGCAGTCGAAACGACCGATTTCGACGCACATGGCTTCCGCTTTAGTGCAACTTGGCACACATACTGCGCCGCAATTGCAGCCGCCACGCCAACACCGAACGCGGCCACGAGTTGGCCACTGCTGCTCACCGTCTTGACCATCGGATTGATAATTAATTACCGTACCAGTACGTGACATGTACTTTAAGTAACAAATAAATACCGGTACGTCGTATTTTTTTGCTGAATGCAAGTCCAGTATTCTAGGTAGAAAGTAAGCAGTCCTATAAGAACACAAAACATTCGATGAAAGTTTTGAAATCGATATATCGGTAAACAAATTCCATGGTAGCCACCATGAAAGATTTCGGTAAGCAAATATCAAAATGCTACTGTTAGCGCTAGTTTTAGCAGAGTCATAGTACTCTGTATAGATATTGACCGATCGTGCAACTTGGTTTGCAACAGGGACCTGGTAGGCTGATATCCAAATGAAGTCACTTGATGGCTTTATATGTGGCAAGACGGGTATTCTACAAAGTTGAGTGTGGCAACGTGATTTCTTTTGGCAAAACCTTCGACACGTGGGACCAGTTTGAAGCACACTTCTAAACATACCAGCGGCGGACCCACCAGGCACGAATACCTGAGCTGTGACTGTTAATTACTTGAAATATGCCTTTTAACGATGTACCGCCGGGATATATTCATCAATTGTGCTTCACAGGCTTGCTATAAACATTCATCTTACTATTTAATCCGTAACGGCACTACTTCTAGGATAAAACCGGCGTTAGGGATCATCGTTAGAGATGCTCTTGATTCAGTCGCGCACGCTCTTATTCAAGAACCGAACACAGCCTAAATAGTGCGCTCCGTCTATAATTGAATATTTTTAAATTATGGATTTTGCCCTAATTTTTTTTTGGATCGCTTTGTGCGGGGTAAGA